CCGCCTCCTCTCCTCGCCGGCCGTCTCCGTGGCCTGCCTCCTCTTCGGCCTCGCCGGGTTCCTCGCCGCCGCGGTCTCCCTCTCCCGGGCGCCCGCCGAGGCCCCGCGGGGCCGCTGCCCGGACTCCTCGCACCCGCTCTCCGTCTCCGTCGCCTGGGACCGGCGCCCCGAGGATGCCGCGGGCGGCGCCACTGACCTCCCGGCGGGCCTCGCCACCGGATCGCGCGGCAGGCACAAGGTCATGGCCTTCGTCGGGATCTTCACCGGGTTCGGCTCCGTCGGCCGCCGCCGCGCGCTCAGGCGGACGTGGCTCCCATCCGATCGGCAGGGTCTCCTTCGGTTAGTTGTCGCTGGTACCACAGCTTCCTAGTTCGTGTTCGCTTGGGTTGCTCGAGATCTAGCTTTAGTGCTGAACTGTTGATCTGTTTGGTTACCTAACGTTCCGTTGTCCATTTCTGTGATCTAGATTTTGACTGCGGTGTATTCAAATCATCCTGTGGCTATTATAATTCTCAGTCAGTAACATAAGTCATTGCTGGTCACTTGAATTTTAAGATCGATAGCTAGCTCATTCATTCATTCATATGGAAAGTTCACCCTGTGGATCATATGGATATTGGATTCATTTGTTTCTATGTTTGCTCCTTGAGTTTGATTGTGAGTTATCTGTTGTGGCATCAGACTTGCTAATTCTTAGGCATTGGTGGTTCTCTTAGACATAACTCCTGCGAGTTTGCGATATACTCATGATTTTAGTGGAATCACTCTAGAAGAACGTATTGATCCTTTTGAATTGCTGCACTCTGTCTCACTAGTACTGATAAATAGTGATTAATTATTTTCTTTCTCGAGTTCGAAGAATGATGCATGAAGTTGGACAATCTATTGGTCTGTACAGGGAATTTGTGCATTTGCTTCTAGAGTTCTAGTGATAAACGTGGCCCCAGTTCTGTTGCTTGATGATTGTCACAACTACTCCCTCTGTCCCATAATATAAGAACGCTTTTTAAGCTAAAACGGTTTGAAAAACGCTCTTATATTATGGGACGGAGGGAGTAGTTTTTATTTTGGTTTCTATCCAGTTATGATGTTGCTTAATTGCTCTGGCAATTCTCATCATGTCCACTTTAATGCAGGTTGGAGGAAGCTACTGGTCTGGCATTCAGATTCGTGATCGGCAAAAGCAATGACAAGTCTAAGATGGCAGCTCTTGAAAGAGAGGTTGAAGAATATGATGATTTTGTGCTTTTAGATCTCGAGGAGGAGTATAGCAGGCTTCCATACAAAACGTAAACAGTATAGCTAGTATCATATCATTGTGTTATCACTTCATATGGGAACTGATTTGATCTTATGTTTTAGGTTAGCATTCTTTAAGGCTGCCTATGCGTTGTTCGATTCTGATTTCTATGTTAAAGCTGATGATGACATTTACTTGAGGCCAGGTGAGCAAGAAACTGACAATATCCAAGATATATGCTCTTAGTGGCTTTGATCAACATACACAATTTTTCTTTTTGTAAGGTTGGCACTTTCATCATCAATTTCTAACCTGCAGATAGACTCTCCTTGCTTTTGGCCAAGGAACGTACACATACACAAACATACATTGGATGCATGAAGAAGGGGCCTGTTTTTACTGATCCCAAATTGAAATGGTTAGTTTCTTCTTTTCATTTTTTACCTAACACTTTTCCTTGTGAAGGATGTCTAACTCTAAGAAGCAATACATACAGTTACATGCTAAATATACGGAAAGTAGCTAATACTGCATAACCTGACCTAGAAGAGATTTTTTTTTCTACGGCATAACAGTAGTGCATCAAAACTGCAGTCTTACGGTCTCAGAAGTATTTGTGTTAACATTCGTAATAGTTATCTGAAATCAAAATGATTGGCATTGTCTGGTGGGCAAGGAGTGATGCCGTCAGTGATCCTTGTTTCACCTATAATGGTGTCTCCGCATTAATTGTACACCACTTCCTGGTTTACATCATAGGAGATATGGAAGTAGTGGAGCTCACATGGATTGGTCTAGTGGGCAACATTTGCCATAAGGGCCTATATTTTTCTTCTATGTTCAGCGCTCATAACTGTTTTGGATTGGGTCTAGTACTTTCATATCATAGGATATAAAGAAGTAGTGGGGCTCACTTGGATTGGTCTAGTAGGCAATATTTGCTGTAAGGGCCTAAATTTGTTTTTCTATGTTCAGCGCTGACTGTTTTGGATTGGGTCTAGTACTTTCATATCTGCATTGTGTTTCATAGTTAAGTTCTGAGCTTCCTGAGATATGTTTCTTTTGGAGCCAACAATTGCACTCGGGTATTGGAAGGGAATGCAATGGTTAGCATGGAATGAGGTACTGGACTGTTTAGAATAGGTTAATGCTCATGGATACAAAATCTGTTCAGTGTTGGTTTGGCTTAGAGAATTTTCATGTTCGCTACCTTTATTTTGTCAAGTTCTGCTCCCTGCGGTCCAATGTACTTGTCTCTTCTGTATCTTTTCTGGTTAAATATATCTAACTTTGATTGCTTATATATTTTTAAATGTCTGGATCAACTATTAGATAATGTTCCAGTGTAAGTAAGTTAGTAGTAAAAAAATAGAAATGGCAATTTTGTAAAAATAAATAAATAATGCAAGTGAATGGCAATGCTTCTTCAAGTTTTAGCTTCAGCTTACTTTGACATGCATTAATTTCGGAAAATAAAGCTTAATAACAATCTGTGAGTACAAACCTTATTGCCTAATCAGTTGTAGGAGACCTAAGTGATGTTGGGCAAAGTTTGATAATGTCCCCTCTCGATCATTTTAGGAATATTAAGGAGCTTGTTATTCTCAGTGAATATGGTATGTGCTTTTACCATGGACATGTATGTAATGGCCGGGAGAAAGTTGGTTATGTATGGATAATTGGATATATTGTTATGCTGACTAGTACTCCCTCCGTTCGGAATTACTTGTCTCGGAAATGGATGTATCTAGAACTAAAATACGTCTAGATACATCCATTTCTACGACAAGTAATTCCGAATGGAGGGAGTAGTTCTGTTGTTCACGATAGTGAATTTTGTGCAAGTATGGTCAAAAGGTGAACGCACAGTGCAAAGATAACTTTTCGAGTATCCAAAACTTCTGCCGCTCATATCTGTAGTTAAGGAGTGAAACTATAGCTTATTTGATGACTTGATGTAAGCTCAACCGATATTAGCTAGCTAGTAGCTACATGCTGCGTCATGAGTAAATTGTCAAAACATGGGCGAAACATTTGTTGGTGCGGATTGTGCCATGAGTTCCTAAACCTGCGTATTTGTGTTAGTTAGGTATCACTTGATATGATCCTATCTCTGAACTTCTATTTGGTGAGTAATTCGCCAAAACATGGTTGAAACATTTGGTTATACATGGGTGACCTTGCGATTTGATATGATGCTATCTCTGATCTTTTGTAACTCAAACTGTTATTTCACTGAATATTAACAGTTCTATCTGTTAGAATTCGAACCTTGCAATTTATATGTGATACCTGAAGTTAAATAGTTTTCTCTACTGTAACACACATTCAAAAAGTGGTAGTAGTACTAAAGTAGCTTAAGACCGTATGTGTTTGGTATTACTGATATATCAAACATGATACCACATACCAGTAATTGGTGAACCCCTTTGCTCAGGGTTTAGAATAACAAATCAAACGTGGATGCAGTCATGCAAATTGTGTATTTGGTGAATCCCTTTGCTCATGGTTTAGAATAACAAGAACAAACGTGATGCAAAATGTGTAGTTATGGTTCTGCCTAAATTCCAACAGTTGGATTATATCTGGACAAAAGGACCGGCTGCACGGGATCCAAAAACATTCCCACAGGATTAAAATATTGCTCTGACAATGTCACCATTAGGGTAAGGAGTCAGGATAAAAGGCCGAATTCTCATAAGCGCAAAGCTGCTGGTTAACAATTTGTAGTCGAGTTCATCCGTTTTTCTTGTATTCAGCCTTACGGCTTTATGTTCCCAGATTTGTTACTGTTCGAACCTGCTTGTGAACGAGCTGTTTTCATTTAATAACTGGATCTAGTGGGGGTTTTCTCTAAGAAAAACAGTGCGAAATTAGAAAAAAAAGAAAGAGGTTAAAGACCTAACAAATGGAACTGCAAGTTTAGTGGTATGTAAAGCATACGGTGTACAAGTTCAGGGACTTAGAGCGCAATCCATACCATATGCTTTTTGTATTTGCGAACGGCGAACGCTCTACCTGGGCAATTATACTGTGTAGCACTCGTCGCTGCCTACTTATTGTTTTTGATTGTGCTCTTTTGATGAATGCAGGTACGAGCCACAGTCCTTCCTACTTGGATCAGAATACTTCCTTCATGCATATGGGCCTATTTATGCTTTATCAGCTGATGTGGTGGCAAGCCTGGTTGCTCTGAGAAACAACAGGTAAATATTCTAAAACTCGCCATCTTACACATAAGCATGTTTAACTGTACCAGTAAATATTCTTTTTTGGGTCTCTGCATGCCAACTAGTACCAAGATTTTTTTTAACTTGGTACCACAGAAAGATGTATAACTAAAAAGTGCCCCGGGGCCACATGTTAGTGACACATGAATGCACTTCACAACTTGAGTGATCTTTGCGATGGTGCGGAGCAATTCGCCCCTGGCACCAAGTACCAAGTAGTCATGCTAATATGCTATAGCCATGAAGTGCCAGCAAAATGCCCTACTGGCAACGGGCTTAAAACTTTTTTTCACTCCCCCTGGTGTCAGTTTGAAATTGACTGCTTGGCATTGAGCTTCAAACATTTTTTCAGTCACTAGTGTCAGTTTGAAATTGAAAACAAGTTTTGACTGGGAACGTTCCTCCTACAGGCTGGAATATTTTGAGATGTGTTAGTTATGGCCAGATTCCCTCATGCTGAAAGCATATGCCAAAGCGTGAAAGTTATACCTGACATGGATAGGGAGTGTGGTCATGTCTCTTTCATCTATTAGTAAGTGATGTGCCTAGGTGAACTTCCTTTTCCTGTGTCTGGTCTAGTTAGAGCCATAGGAAAGAGTCGCGATTGTTATGTTGAGGTTAATAATCCTTAAGCCTATAGTAGGTTGTAGTCGAATCAAGGAAATTGACAGTTTCTGACTTTGATTTTTTTTAAAGAATATTGTGAACCGGTTTCGCACACAGGAACACTACCAAATTTGCATCATCGTCCTACTTCAAACTGAATCATGTACAGTATATGTTTGTTTAATACTGTATATTCTTACCCATGTTTGTCCAGTTTTCGAATGTTCAACAATGAGGATGTTACTATTGGATCCTGGATGCTTGCTATGAACGTCAACCACGAGAACACGCATGCTCTGTGCGAACCCGAGTGCACAGCGTCCTCAATTGCTGTCTGGGATATTCCAAAATGCTCAGGTCATTTCCTTGACTACTCCAGTTTCTATCTTCAGCCGACTTTACTTCAGTCACATATTATCTGACCCAGGGCTACGATTTTACCAGAACACGCTTTCATAAATGCTAACGGGTTTCCATCTGTTGTCATCCAGGGCTATGCCACCCGGAGGTAAAGATGCTGGAGCTTCACCAGCGGAAAGAGTGCACGGGTGGTCCAACGGAGGCCGCTGAAACCGATGACGAGTGAAGCTTCGTCAGGACACAGGGAGCCATGCATGGACATTGGACCAGGCATGATGATGACACAAACGGTCGGTTGACCCAATAGATTCTTGGAGTGCCTACACATCCGATTCGATTCGATTCCATCACCAGGTAGTACAATCATTGCCGTTTTTGCAAGCATGTCACCAAGCACACTGACGAGGAACCCTACAGCTGCGTGCGATTCAGGCGCCACACCACGCAGCTGCAAGCACATTCTCACCTGCCTTTTAACCACAGCTGTAGCATTTACCGCTCGCGTGCGTAAATCGCGAACGCGGCGAGGAGGTTTTGGTGTATAGAAGGGTGCGGTAGGTACAAATTGGGTAGCACACCGTGCATTTTGCTTTCCGCGAAGACGGTGCTAGAAATCAGCTCTTTCTCTTGTCAAAAGATCTGGATTGCTCGCTTGGATCCTTTTCGCTGAGATGCCATTCTCGAGGCCCCGACAACTGTATGACATTGCCGTGTTGCCAACTAGAGAAGTAGAGATGTTGGTGGTAGCATTGAGTAGGGAGGATCCTGCTACTCGCAAGGATGATGATGGGTCTTGTGGTAGCTGTCTTTGGGCGGGCCTAGCAAGTCCACGGACTCCAGCTAGGAAGAAAAGCTCAGTCCACTTTTGCTCGCGTCGTCAGCCACTTGCAAAACGCATTTAATTTCTCCCTTGTATTCAAGCCGATTCGACGTGGGTAGTTGAGATTCGGCCGTCAAAACGGCAGCACCAGTCACTGTCCGAATGGAGGGCCGTGTATCCTTATCCGCCTAACGAGCGAATCTAGTATAGCAAGTTTCATCTGTCGATCTCTCTGTAGATCATCCAAAAGGCTTTTCACCTTGTGTGTTTTTTTTTTCGTAAGCCTTTTCACCGTGCCTCTTTAGTACTCCGTCCGGTCCTTTTTACTCTGCATATAAGAATTGTCTGAAGTCAAACTTTACAAAGTTTGACCATATTTATATTAAAAAATATCAATATCAATATCTACCATGTTAAAGTTATACAACATGGAACTTTAAGTCATGACGCATCTATTAGTATTGATTTCACATTATGATTGTTTGTATTTTTTTTATAAAGTTGATCAAACTTTACGAGGCTTGACTTCAAACAAATCTAATATGCGAACTAAAAAGGACCGGAGGGAGTACTGGTTCGTTTCACGGAGATGAAACAGGAAGCACTGTCGATTATATTAATCATCGAGCTGTTGTTCACTACTGCTCCCAGCCTCTCCTGGGCGTTTTCCCTGCCAGACACGGTTTGTCCGGCTTCGTCACGGGCAATGCCCCGACGACGATCGACCACAGTGACTAGTTCTACTAGCCTAGTCTGTACTCTGTAGTCCCGTCCCGGACAGGATGAGCATCGGAGGCGAGATTTGTGCAGCGTCTTTACCGAAAAGCTCCGGCCGCACATGACCCCGTGCGCCAGGCGAAAAGATCCAAACCCCTAGCTGCCACGGCAGAAAGTTCCTTCCTTCATTATTATCGTGTTTATTTCTTCTTTCTTTCGTTTTCATCCAATTGTACCACTCTTTTTCCCCATGGAACAAAACAATTATCAGATTATTACAGGTTCATAGCAACACATGCGGTACTATTCCACGACAGTTGCCGTCATTCTTTCCCCTTTCTTCATCAGCACACACGCGCCCAGATCAGACCGGGAACCCAGCCTTAGCCAGTCCCCAGAAACGTTTCCTTATAATAATTAACCCGACTGAACAAATAATAATAATAATAATTGATTGATTGATTGATTAATGATGGATCCATGGACGACGATGCATGAGCTGGTTGATCGGCCAGCGGGAGTGGCTGGCTAGTGGGAGATGCCGGGGTGGCAGAAGGCGCCGTTGAGCCATCCGTCGGTGATCTGCTTGTACGCGGCCTCGGTGAGGTGGATGCCGTCCCAGCTGAGGTGCGACGCCGGGCTGGCGCAGGCGGAGGCGCCCGACATGCCGCACCGCGCGCTGTTGGCGTAGTTGTACTTGCCTCCCCCCGACCCGCAGCACGCCTCGAACACCGAGCTGAACCCTGCATCCACATCCACACAAGGTTAAGATCAGATCATATCACCTCACAGTGTCAGTTGGTTCATCGTTTTGGTTTCTTGCATTGCATCAATCTGTCATGATGGGTCCGTGACGCCCCTCGTACGAAGATTCCGAGGGGAGGGATGGTTTTCCGATCATCGATCGGCAACGTGCGGGAGCAGTGGCGTGTGTCCCGGCGTTAACCACCCACCGCCACCGGGGCGGCACGCATGTGTTCGGTTGGGGAAACAGAGCACCGGCTGTCTGCTTCTGCAAGTAGCGCCCGTTCAGAGGAGCAACGCCTACCAAACCCCATTATTCTCCCCCGTGACGGGATGTCGTTACTCGCTCGGGATCCCCGTATCACGAGCGCGAGCGCGCCCGTGTCGGCCCGCGACCTCGTTTTCTATTCACCGGCGATCGACCGCGTGCGGAACAGGACTGGACTGGACTGGGCGCAGGACGCGCTCGCGCTCCCACGGCCGGCGCCGGCGCGAGCCAGAGCGGGGCAACGGCAGGAAATCCCTACGGCCGGCGCAGCGCAGCGCACGCACATGGACGGGCGCACCGACGCGCATGTGGTGGTGACCACGCTGCTGGCCAGCAGTGCAGGACTAGTGGCGCACCAGTGCAGCACTGCAAGCTCACTGCTCGATCGTGCACGAGCCTTAAACGCCGAATAATCCTACATTTAATCCCGGCGCCATGTCCATGCTTGTCCCGTGCTACACTGCTCCATCGTACACGCTCTGTCCTGTCCAAAAACGCTCTGCGATGCCGACGACGGACGGGGGTCCAGCGCAGTCACGGCGAGTTTGAAATCTAGCCCGCAACGGTGCCGCTAGTCGACTAGCCGCCAAACTCCAGCCCCTCCGTGCGTCCGTAAGGAGTACAGTACGTGTGCATGAAATCATGTACGTATGAACGAACGTACGCGCGTACCGTATTTGCTGGGGCTCCGGACCATGTCGTAGACGCCGGCGTAGAAGTCAGCGTACATGATGCGCGCCGACTTGTACTTGGCCTGGAGGCTCGTGACCTTGGCCTGCAGCAGGCTGTTGTGGTACGTGGAGAGGTCGTTGAACTTCTTGAGGCAGCCGAGGGCGTCGTAGTCGGCGGCGCTGGAGGTGCCGTAGATGGTGAGGTAGATGGGGAAGCAGCCGATGGGGAGCACCCCGGGCACCACCACGTCCACCGCCCCCATCGCGACCAGCTTCTCCACGCCGGCGCCGATGGTGTCCACGATCTGCGGCGCGTACGTGCTCGCCTGGTCCGTGTTGTAGTTGCCGAACAGCATCGCGTTGTAGTCGTTCCCCCCGAACTCCCCGAAGATGAAGAGCGAGTTCGCCAGGTAGCTCTTGCAGCCTGCAACAATAGTGATAGTACACACGCGTAAGCGAATCAATTCGCCAGGCCCCATGAAAAGTGTGTAGTAAAGCTCTTATCAATGGCGGCAGCGGCATGGCAGTGGCAGCGGCGACAGCTGGATGGAGCAGGAAATCATGCTGCTGCTCGTGCATTAAGGGAGCAGCAGAGCATGCAGACATGGTGGGCTGGGCTTTGAAGGGAGTGAAGAAAGAAAAGAAAAGCATGATGGGAGAGGACTGAGGGGAGGGCTCACTGCTGCCGCAGACGGAGGAGGTGATGGTCTGGAACCACTGGAGCTGGAAGCTGATGGGCCCGTTGTTCCAGATCTTGTCGGAGAGGCCGAGGGAGCGGAAGAAGGGGGCGTCCATGGCGGTGGCGCCGGTGATGGCCATGTTGGCGCCCTTCTTGAAGTCGGCGGAGGTGGACTTGGAGGGGGGCAGGAAGGGGAGGCTGTACTTGGTGCTGAGGAAGTCGACGATGACGCGGCCGTCGGAGCAGCGGCAGGTGGGGCTCCCGAAGTAGGTCTCCCCGTAGGGCGGCTGCGTGAAGGTGATCGCCGAGGGCCGCCCGTTGGTGCACAGGTTCCCTGTGTCCGTGATCGAGTCGCCGAAGCTGTACACCGCATTGTACTTCTGCGCCGCCGCCATGGAAAGCGACGACAAGCACAGCAGCAGCACAAGCAGCGGCAGCGGCAACCTCGCCGTCGGCGACGACGACGACCTCGCCATCACGACACCGCCGGCCGCGCGCGGGAGCGGCTAGGGGGAGGAGGAGGGGGTCGACGGTGGTGTGCTCGCCGCGACGCTGCCTCTGCGCGCGGGGATGAGCCGGCGGGCGGGACAGAGAGCAGAGCGGAGCAGAGCACTTTGAATGGATGGAACGGGCGGCGAGGGGCAGCGCTTTTTATAGGCCCGTGGCCGTGGCAGAGGCTGGGCCATGGTCGACGCGCATGTACAGGTAGATAGGCCAGGCGTGTGGAGGAGTGCATGCAGCATTGCAGCAAGTTGAAGGGGATTCGCTTTACGTGCCGCCGGCCCGGTACATGGCAATGGCAAATGGCAATCACCGCTGCTGTTGGACTCGTGTCGCCGGACGCCGGTCGGTCTAGTGTGAGTGAGGGAATTTCTTGTTTTTCTTTTTTTTTTCTGAAAAGGTAGGAGTTTCTTGTTTTTCTTGGTTTTTTTATCCATTTCCTTTTTCTAAGAAAATTTCTTTTTTGAACACAGTACAATCGAAGTCTCAAAGTCACTCACGTAGACGGATATATACTCATCCTTATGAAAACACGCACGGACATTCTATCCATATGAACACCTTCAAGAGACCGAGCCGGCATAACATCTTAAAACGATGAAGTACACCAGGGTCGCCTCGTAGTCGAGGTGGACGTCTCCTGCTATTGAACGAAGCTCAAAAGCCTAGAATAAATATATGAAAATGCAACCACCTATGTCAAGTCAAGTCTAGGACTTAAACCCTGGTGGCTTGAGGGTATCATTGTCCTTCTAACCATCCAATCATACGTTGGTTCGCCTTTTTCTAATTAGAACGATAGGAGTTTCTTATTTTTTTAATCAGTTTTTTTTTAGAAAATAGGAGTTTCTTTTTTCTTTTCTTTTTGGAAAGGTACAGGAGCTCTTTGCTACAGACCGCGATAGACCGACGCCCCCGATTTGGTGTTTCCAATGACGGCGGCAGGCACACATCGTATCTTTACCCAAATGATAAGTGTCACGCGTGTGACACGAAGCACTCCGGTCCTGACTTCTTTTACAATTGAAGCTGTCATCTGAAAAGAAAAAATGAAACTTGCCTTCTGAAAAAAAAAAGCTGTCAAACTTGACAACTAAAATTAGCATTCTTGCTTAACTAAACTTGTTATAAAAAAAAGTTCAGAGTTACCATGTGTTCATGCCACACATGTGACACTTATTAAGACCCTATCTTCACTGGGACGACGAGTTGTCTATTTCATTCGCAAACTCATCCACTAAAAGGTAAAAACTCACAATAATTTGCGGCCATCTGTATCTCGGTGGTTACCGATCGCCCTACCTAGTCACGCAAGAGGCGGGGAGCTTTAGCGTAGCCGCCATGAGCTGGTCTGGGTACGTACCATCCTTTTCCCTTTCTCGTCTCCTTTGCGCGCGCCCAGGCGAGGCGAGGCGACGCGACCTGGCCACGCTTTTCCGGCGATTTTCCATGTGATGATGTGCCGCGCTTTCCCGTGGGTATGCAAGCCACCAAGCTTATTTAGCCCGGATGATTAGCAAAATTTAGCATTGGCCGAGAAAAAGTCGGGCCAATTGACGTACGTGGCCGCGACGAGTCCCGTGCCCGGAAGGATCTGTGCCCTTTTGAAACTTGGGCACCTCTTTTCGCCCCGCTTTTGCTCCCTGTCATGGGCGTGCCGTGGTGGCTTGGCTAGGTTGATTACGAGGCTCGAGGTACCAAGACGTTGATCTTTTTTACCAAAAGAGAAAATCTAGTTCCTTCTAAGTACGTGAGGGGACCGGCACTCCTACAAGTACGTGGCTCATGGACAATGTGTCCCTGACTCTCTGTGTGTGTGTTGCGTGTGCATGCCTCTTGTCGACGCAAGCTAAGTTTGACCGGTGTCTCTGCTCTGTGGCACACGTTTCTTCGGCCCGGCGAATAATTGGCACAGGATTATCCGTCTGCTTGCGCTCGTGATGATGAGATGGAATGGAATGTACGTCCACTTGCCTCCGGAGGCGGCGCGGCGGTCGTCGGCGACGGACTGGTGGTGGGTAGAGCAAGAGAACAATGCGACGCCGAATACAAGTTCGGCGCTCCGTCCATCCATGCGTCCATCCGGTGATCGCTGTCGAAACAAGTGGAGGTTCCGCATCTCATCTTGCACCGCATACCGCCACGGTAGAGCCGTAGAGGCGAAGAACGACGTGGATGCATACGTTGTCCCCAGCGTGTTACTTATCCATCCGAACACAAAGCATTTGTTTCCAATCGGACGGTCTCTATCGAGTCAGTAGCAGAGCACAATGGCCTGCACTTGGTATATCCATGTTAACGCAACACTAATAACCAGGCCATGCATCATGCATGGCGCAGAGATGATTGATGGATGGATGCACCTTCGTCATGATCATGCATCGTTATCATACCACCACCGCCATTCAATCAAAAACTCTGGAATTTCAAAGTGGTAGTACAATCATGCATGGGCATCAACTAAGCTAGGGAGCTAGCTAGTGTGATCGATCTGGTAGCTAGTTATCAACGCTAGTAGATGATGCTGAAAGTGATGGAGCGAGGCCCAACTGAAGGAACCCACTTGATGCGTGCAGTCAGGACCAGCAGCACCAACACGTACGTAGTACGTGCCATGATTATGCGTGGTTAAATTAGGTCTTGTATATTGGCAGGGAGGGCACTTTGGCTAACAAGAAATACTACTAGAAAGAAAAGGTGGTGGTAGTAATCATCACGCTGGCCAGCTGATTGTCACTAGACTCGCGTAATTGCCGAGCTTAGCATCCATCGGCGACTTGGGTGCCACACGTAACACACTACATAACCAACTCGCACTAGTAATTTACCCAGCTTAGATACGCACTGTTAGACTATGTATAGCTTCTGTACCTATGTACGTATATGGTACATATTGTAACACAATCATTATATAATGAGATAAGCCATCCCTAGAGGGTTGTGCTGGTTCCCCAAAATTTATTGTCTTACATGGTATCACGCTAGGTTACGATCGCTTCCGCTTCTAAACCCTAATACCCGCACCGCCGCCGCAGCCGCCGCCGCCTTCACCGCCGCCGCCGCGCCATCGATCGCGCCGCCGCCATGTCGAGCGCCGCCACCACCGGTTCCACTGCTGCGGGCTTCCTCCCGGCCTCTCTTGCGGCTCTGCTCAACCTCCCGCTCGATGCCGTCTCTGTTCCGGCTCCGATCGGGACAAGGAGCATCGGCTCCGTCTTCTCCACGCCGCCGGCGCCCTCGCTTGGGCGTGACCTCGTGGTCCACACCGCGGCGCCGCCGTCCGCTGCGGACTCCGCAGGCGTCGTCCCGCCGCTCCTGCCGCAAGCGGATCACACTGCCCCGCTGGCGGGGTTGGCGGCGTCCGCCCCGGTCGCGGGCCTTGCGGCGTCCGCACCGGCCGCGAGCTTTGCGGCGCCCGCCCTGGCTGCGGTCCCGCCTCCTCCCGCATCGGCTTCGGTGCCTCCGGCTGCCTCCATGGTGTTTGCACCCCAGGCAGCCTCCTCGATGGGATTGTCTTCGCCGCCGCCGTTTCACTTCGGTCATCTCATCACCATCAAGCTCTCCGCCGACAACTACATCTTCTGGCGTGCGCAGGTTCTCCCGCTCTTGGGGAGTCACTACCTGCTAGGCTACGTCGACGAATCGCTTCCCTGCCCACCCGCGCTGGTAGACAGCGTGCACGGTCCGGTCTACAATCCGGCCCATCGCGTCTGGACGGGGCAGGACCAGGCGAACCTCTCCTCCATCCAGGGGTCGCTCTCGCCGGCAGTTGCCGGCCTTGTTGTCTTCGTGAAGACGTCTCATGAGGCATGGACCATCCTTGAGCGCACCTTTGCAGCGCAGTCCCAGGCTCGTGTCTCTGCACTCCGTCGTCAGCTTGGAGAGTGTCAGAAGCTTGACTCCACTGCCACTGAGTTCTACAACAAGGTCAAGGGCCTCGCCGACACATTGGCCTCCATTGGACAGCCCCTCACCGACTCCGAGTTCAACTGGTTTATTGTCAATGGTCTTGATGAGGAGTATGATGCCTTAGTCGAGATCATCAACGAGCGGGGCAACTCGACACCCATGCTGGCACACGAGGTTTTCTCTCGGCTCCTTCTCACTGAGCAACGGGTCAAGACTCGCCGCACCAGGGGCACTGGCTCCCTCTCGGCCAACGCCGCCACCAAGGGTGGCCGCTCTTCTTCATCACCCCGGTCTCCCTTGGGGCTGCCACCGCCGCCCGCCTCGGCCCCCCCACCTACTGCGACCTTACCGGGGGCTGGCGGTCCGCGTGTGTGTCAGCTTTGTGGCCGCGATGGGCACTGGGCCTCCAAGTGTCATAAGCGCTTCCAGCGAAGCTTCCTTGGTCTTGGCAATGACGGCAAAGATACACGCAACAATGCCCGTCAGGTCGCCATGGCTGATCGTCCCGCGCCGCAGAAGCAACAGGGACACACTCAGTCCTACTCCATCGATCCACACTGGTACATGGACTCTGGGGCGACAGAGCATCTAACCAGCGAGATGGGGAAGCTTCACACTCGTGAACCCTATCATGGCTCCGACAAGATCCACACCGCCAATGGAGCAGGTATGCACATCTCTCATATTGGTCAAGCATCTCTTCTCACTAGACATGCCAATAGGAGTCTTCAGCTTCGCAATGTTCTTCGAGTTCCATCTGTGACCCGTAATCTTCTTTCAGTTCCTAAACTCACACGTGATAATAATGTGCTTTGTGAATTTCACCCTTTTGATCTTTTTATTAAGGATCGGGGCACGAGGGACATTCTTCTTAGTGGGCGGTTGTGCCAGGGTCTCTACCGTCTGGAGCATCCTGGTGTCGCTCGTGTTTTCAGTGGAGTTCGGGTCTCTCCGTCACAGTGGCATGCTCGTCTTGGTCACCCGGCCACACCTATTGTCCGTCATATTTTGCGTCGTCATGAGCTTCCTAGTTTGTCTAGTCATCAAGATGTAGCAGTGTGTGATG